CAATGTGCGATAATCAAATTAAATAAAAATATTGAGGACTGAGTAACATATACATTTGCATGTTAAAAGAGACTTAAGTAGAATGTAAAAGTTGAAGTACGCTATTGAAGACGCACAGAGCAATACACAAATATATTTAATCTCAAATATACTAATTGTAAATTTATCCATCGAGGACAGGACGTGATTAATTCGCTCGATTTCTTGCGCATAAACGCGAGAGAAACAACGGCGCTCGCCAAATGCAGTCGCTTTGAATAATTTTTAACACGACACGTACGATAAAGGAGATGTTCATGTCGCATGCTCGCATAATCGTGCTCATATAACCATAATTTAATGATAACGACGTAATTGTGACGCCGGATCTATTCGCGAGAGCGCAACCTTTACCGTAAATTGAAAAATTACTACATCACAACGAGGAAGGAAAGCGGGAATTGCTCATGAGATTTTCGAGCGTCTTTTATTTTACAGTCGACTATATGTATATATCTAATTCATTAATCAAGACAAAATTTGTCGATTCTGTGAAATCTCTCGTATTACGAAAGATAATTAAGGAATTAATATTCATTCGTGTTTCAGCTATTCATGCTATTTAGATTCATAATTAAAATTCATTATGTTCATTTTGATGCGCTTCGATGTGAGCTATTTATATCATGAATATTGCGCGGCAATAGAACGTATATATAGAACGTATACGAAATTGACTAAATTTCTTATCTGCCTTCTGCTATGGCTTGTCAAATCATGAAATGTGCGGATTCGCCTTTATTTACTCGCTTCATTATCGATACTTGGGGATCATTCGCCGTTTAAAACGTTAAATCGACGATATGACGTCATGACGATAGCCAGTTATGCAAGCTGTAATAAAAAGTGTTTAAATCGAATTTTGTGTGTGCTTATCGCGTGTGATATTTTTATAATTTATACTAATATTAAATCACACGTATATACAACAAGTGCATTCACATTTTAAATAACGATTCTCTTTATATATCGTATTTTATTGATTTAAAAATATAGCCGTAAAGTTAATAGAGATTTTTAATCGAGTTTTCAAATATCAAAAAGATGTGCTGGATATTTCTAGATATTATATCTTTATACAATAGTTTTAGAATTTTATGATTATAGAATTTTCACATCTAATATTAACTTCATATTTTAAATTTAATTGAAAAATAGAGATTGAGTTTCGAGATTGCATAAGATAACCTATTTCTTTCCCCTCCTCTCCCCTCCTCTTTCTCCTCCCTCTCTCTCTCTCTCTATCTATCTATCTATCTATCTATCTACTCCGTATTACGTTATTTTGATAGAAATAAATAGCTAGAAATAAATA